CCCCATCCCCATTCTTTGTAGTTGTTGGGGGCATTCCACACCCCATTCCTTGTAGTGGTTGGGGGCATTCCACACCCCATTCCTTGTAGTGGTTGGGGGCATTCCACACCCCATCGCCATTCCTTGTAGTGGTTGGGGGCATTCCACACCCCATCGCCATTCCTTGTAGTGGTTGGGGGCATTCCACACCCCATCGCCATTCCTTGTAGTGGTTGGGGGCATTCCACACCCCATCGCCATTCCTTGTAGTGGTTGGGGGCATTCCACACCCCATCGCCATTCCTTGTAGTGGTTGGGGGCATTCCACACCCCATCGCCATTCCTTGTAGTGGTTGGGGGCATTCCACACCCCATCGCCATTCCTTGTAGTGGTTGGGGGCATTCCACACCCCATCGCCATTCCTTGTAGTGGTTGGGGGCATTCCACACCCCATCGCCATTCCTTGTAGTGGTTGGGGGCATTCCACATCCCATCCCTATTCCTTGTAGTGGTTGGGGGCATTCCACACCCCATTCCTTGTAGTGGTTGGGGGCTTTCCACACCCCATTCCTTGTAGTGGTTGGGGGCTTTCCACACCCCATTCCTTGTAGTGGTTGGGGGCTTTCCACATCCCATCCCTATTCCTTGTAGTGGTTGGGGGCTTTCCACATCCCATCCCTATTCCTTGTAGTGGTTGGGGGCTTTCCACATCCCATCCCTATTCCTTGTAGTGGTTCCTTGTAGTGGTTGGGGGCTTTCCACATCCCATCCCTATTCCTTGTAGTGGTTGGGGGCTTTCCACATCCCATCCCTATTCCTTGTAGTGGTTGGGGGCTTTCCACACCCCATTGCTTGTAGTGGTTGGGGGCTTTCCACACCCCATTCCTTGTAGGGGTTGGGGGCTTTCCACACCCCATTCCTTGTAGGGGTTGGGGGCTTTCCACACCCCATTCCTTGTAGGGGTTGGGGGCTTTCCACACCCCATTCCTTGTAGGGGTTGGGGGCTTTCCACACCCCATTCCTTGTAGGGGTTGGGGGCTTTCCACACCCCATTCCTTGTAGGGGTTGGGGGCTTTCCACACCCCATTCCTTGTAGGGGTTGGGGGCTTTCCACACCCCATTATTCCTTGTAGGGGTTGGGGGCTTTCCACACCCCATTGCTTGTAGGGGTTGGGGGCTTTCCACACCCCATTGCTTGTAGGGGTTGGGGGCTTTCCACACCCCATCCCTATTGCTTGTAGGGGTTGGGGGCTTTCCACACCCCATCCCTATTGCTTGTAGGGGTTGGGGGCTTTCCCTTGTAGGGGTTGGGGGGGCATTCCACACCCCATCCCTTGTAGTGGTTTGGGGGGCATTCCATCTCCCCTCCCCATTCCTCTCCTCACCTCTCAAATGGTGCTAGGAGAATTTTCTAAAATTCTTTACCACTCCGTTTTCTTTGTAAATTATTGCCTATTTCTATTCTCTGTTTGTTTCCATTGCAATTTGTAAAGACACAGGTTGATGCTACAATGTTTAAAGGGAAACTGAATTGGTTATCGTTGTCCAGAGTCCCCTGGCAGTGTTAAACCATTTTGAACTGTTTATCACTAAACAAGGGTCCTTGGCCACCCACAGCCTGGCCTTCCGTGCAGGTATGGTTAAGGCTGAAATTACACAAAACCTTCTTGCCGTACCAATTCATACCAGAAATGGGCACTGTGATAGGCTGAAAGGTCAGCTGACTCTCTTTGTCAAACATAGCTGCCCGTTGCTGCTAATGCTTGCTCTTCAGCAGCACAGAGGGGGACCCTCGTTTAGCATTGCAAGAACAGTTTGGGCACCATAACAATATCATCAAAAGAAGTTATGATGCGAGGAGGTACCCGGTGCTGGCTCACATTAAGGGTTTAAACTGTTCTCAAACAATTTAACCCCAAAGTTTGTTTTCCAGTGCCGAATCTCCTTTAATCTCTGTCCTGTTTTCTTAAAATCTGGAAACTGGAAGGCTCTTGCAGAGTCGGGCAGCTCAAAGCTGGCTTGAAAAGGTTATGCTTCTTTTCAAGCAAGTTTAATTAATGGGGATTCACTGATTGGCTGAAAGTGTCAGATGACTGCTCTCAGCCAGTCAGCGGTGACGCTGCCAGATTCTACATTAGCTTTCTGGTTACTGAGAGCCATAAGTTGTTATGCTTCCTGGAGTTTTTGCTTTTAAAAATAGCTTAATGCTGACCAGCAGGACGTCACACGGGGATTCCAGATGCTATAACCACTTAATTGAGATGAAGTGGTTACAGTGCCTACAGTGTCTCTTTAACCAGTAGTTCTGACCATGATTGTGTAGACACAATATATGCATAGTCTGCCCTTGCCTCTCTTTGAACCACTCCCTTTATACCCTTATTCTGCTGTTAGTGCTTCCGTCCCATGTGCTATCATAATCTGTTAGCATTTTTATTTATTTTTCTGTTTAAAAAAATAAAAATTTCAATTTTTGCATGACAGTCCATTCCTTTTTTTTCTTTTTGCCTTGGTTGGTCTCTATCGTTTTTTCTGTCCCCTCCCCATTTTCGTCTTGTTTCGCTGTTATTTGCCCTTTTCTTAACAGTTTTTCGTTTGGTTAAATGTAATTTGCTTATCCATTCCCAGTTTTTGCTTTTATTTAGCTACCGTTGGCCTGCCCCCTCTCCATTTTCAATAACTGAAAAAAAAGGGGGGGGGGGGAATAGAAGTAAATAAAATATAATCATAACATTTCGGTATTATTTCTAGTAGTAAAAAAACAAAACAAAAAAGTAACATCTATTTGATATAAAAATGAAAAAGTAAACTATTGAGCAAATCAAATATTTATGCTATGATCCTTAAAAAATAACAGAAATATGGTAGTAATTGAATTAAAATACAGTTCTTTACGCTTATGTCTTCTATACATTTTTTTTTCTGAATCAACTTTCTCCAAAGTTCTCTTCAGTAAAGGCGCGAAACGCATCAGCATTTCTCATGCTCCATCCTTGCATGTAATAGTTATGACGTGAAATTTAAATAAAGGCCATTTTTCCTTTTTATCCATGACGATTGAGGCCTTTTTGTCTCTCCATATTCAGCTTGGTTAGATGTTGTTCGTACATCTCCTACCAGATTTTTTTTCATCTTGGTTGGCCTACATTCACACACCTCTCCCCGTTTTTTGCCTTGGATAGCCTAATGTTCACCCACTCCCCTCCCCATATTTTTCTTGGCTAGCCGTCGTTTACCCACCCCCTTCCCGCTTTCCCCTTTGGCTAGTTACCCCCTTCCCGTTTTCCCCTTTGGCTAGTCACCCCCTTCCCGTTTTCCCCCTTTGTCACCCCGTTCCCGGTTTTCCCCTTTGTCACCCCGTTCCCGGTTTTCCCCTTTGTCACTCCATTTTTGCTTTTGGCTAGTCACCCCCACCCTGTTTTTTTTTTTTTTTTTTTTCGCCTTGGCTAGCAGTCATGCACTCATGCCCTGCCCATTCTCGTGATTTATCCCCATGAATTTCTGTGCATTTTCTGCTCTGTGTTTTTTGTTTGTTTCCAGTTGGCTTGTTTTGCTTTCTCTAGCCATTCTAATAGAATACACAGGTGTCTACCTTTTGGAACCGTACATTCTCCCGATGTTTGTGTACAAAACAGAAGTATACTCTGACCTTTTCTCATTCTCAACCCATACCCTTTTTACTCCTATGTAACTTGAGAAATTCCTTCTCCTACCCAAACTGATCATTTTTTTTTTTTTTTTTTCATTAATTTTTGTTAACATTTTTAAATTTATTTAATGATTTTATTTTTAGATGTAGAGTCTGCTCCTCTGTGGTTCCATAATTTTTCTGCCTAAATCTTCTGGAGTTCCTGCTCTTCTCCCCACATTTACTGATTTATTTTATTCTCTCCCTCCCTCGTTTACACATTCTTTGCAGCTCCCGGTCTCCTTACACTTTCCCTATACTGGGAATATTTCATGGTGTAATGGGGTGTGAAAGGGAGAGGGGGTGTGGTGTTCATTCTTACAGTGGCACTGTGATTTTTATTTTAGCAGCACAGAAAGGGGAGGGGGGTCCAGTGTCTGTCTTTGCGCAAATTGTTGGCAAGAATAGTGCTGTCTGTTTAATATGTCGTGCTTGTATCACCATTAGGATACACTTTTTTTTTCTTTTGATTAGAAGTTAAACCACAGTCTACGCAAAACAAAACTTAAACCTTCTCTAAAATTGTCTCTATTCTGCAATGGGTCTTTTCACTTTCTTGTCTTTTTTTTTAATTTAATTTTATTTATTTTTTTAAGTTCTTCTAATATTTTAGACGCAAATGGCAATTTGGTTAAAATAAAAAATTGTGACCTACCCTTGCTTTTTAGATTCTTTGGCTGATGGTTGCACAGATTATCCAAAGGAAATTGCGCCCTAAAATAACTTAATTTCCTTATTTTCAATATTTTTATCCCCCCTATATCATAATTCTGTGAAATTCTGGTACTTGCAAGTAAACTTTGTGTTTTATAGCACACATAGAAACAGATTTGAGATTTCATTCTCCTGTTGTCTTCTGACCCCTATGACCAAAAATGTAATTAGAGAAACAGCCATCTTGTTTTCAGACAGAATTTATAGTGGCAGCTTGTTGTTTGTTTCTTCAAATTTAATGTGTGAAATGCAACATTTTTGATTATTCATGTTCGTGTTTTTGTTTTTTCTTGTCGGTACACACGGCAAAACAGGATATATGTATGTGCACTCGTATTTCATAGAAATGGGTTCAGCCCTCTGCCTAGAGGAGTGTTTTCTTTCTGTGCAATAATTTTGTAACCATCATTCAAAACTGTGCTCCACTAGTCCCAATTATTATTACATGTTAACTATCCATTTGCACACTTGTGTTTGTGTGTATTAAATATTTGGTGTTTTGTACCTGGGGAAGCAATCAAAATATTTCAAAATTGCATTCACGATAATGTTTCTCAACAAATGTTGCCTCTTACTTGCTATTACGACCTATTTTATTATTTTTTTTTTTTTTCTACAGGTGACCCTCCTTGGAACTGCCAGAGGACAGCGTGGCCTACCTCGGCTTCCCCCTTTGGGGAAGAAGCCCCTTCCCCTCTCCCACCCTCTTTCCTGTGCTGAATGGCTGCGATGGCTCCTGCTCTCACTGACCCTGCTCCTGACGCTCACAACTTGCACTTCAAGCTGGCGCCCCCATCATCTTCCCTTCCCCTTGGTGAGACCAAC